TGGCTACATAACTTGTTAAATTCATCACCTACTGAGCTCATGCTCAACCCAAAGCTAACAACTTTTAGGAAATGAAGACGAAGTGCCCACCAAGTGATCGTTTTGATAAGAATGAACCTTTTTGGGAGTTTGATGGCTTGTTTTGTCATATTTTGGTTGAACTTGTTTTGCAAGGTTTGTAATTATATGTTGGTATATTTTGAAGATGGGGTTTAATTGGGGTTTTAATTGTTGTAGACGTTTCTCGCCTTTTGAACTGTTTTGTTTTATTTGGAATGCAATGGAACAATATTGTAAATGTTGAAGAATAGTTCAAAGGGATAGAAATATAATGAATATTATCTTCTTATTATTATTCTTCTATTATTTGTATGAGTTGTACGATAGCAATGCCTAGTGGATAGGGTTGGGAAAGGCTCTTCTAGGGTGTTGCAAGCAGTGGGTTCAAACCAGAAGTGCAAATTTGGCCAGGCCTGCCTCGGCTCAGCCTACCCAGGCCTGGGCTTGGGCCAGCCCACTATCGGGTCGTGCGGGCTTCCGTCAAAATTCAAGTCAGGCCAAGTCAACCCACGTGGAAAAAATTAGGCCCAGACCCAAGCCCACTCAAAATAAGGCTGTGAGCCGAGCCTGCGAGCCTTTTTCTTTTTTTTTTTTTTTTTTTTGCAAAAAAATAATTGATAGATATTATATATATAGAGAGATTATTTATGGGGGCTAAGAAAACAAAAAAAAAATTATACTATAGCATTTTAGTTAAGATTAATGAAATGTTTTGTTATGTTTCATGTGGTGGCATTTAGTTATGTATGACCTATATAGTTATGAAATGAAATATTGCAAGAATTAAATTAAATAGATAACATTTAATGAATAATTTTTAATTCAAAATGAAATAAAATATTACAAAAATTATATCATTAAATAAAATGGATTTAGATTGTTGATGATGGTAGAAAAATTGCATCACTATAAGTCAACTACATCCCAACTAAGTTGGTACCTATTAGCCTACCAATCATTTGCATTATAATCTACCTCAATAATCTAATAAAAACATTATGAAATTAAATAGTGAAAAAAAATTTGTTAATCAATCATCGGAGAAGCTAGACAATTCACTCATGGTGCCCAATGATATGTCATCCAAAACACCTTGGATTCTCTCATTTTCACTACAATATTCTCTTCTTGTAAGTGCATGCATATGATCTCTCGATATTATAAGTGCCTCAACCATTTGGGATGAAAGTCTGATACGGTAATCGCTCAACACCCGCCCATCTGCCCTAAAAGCTGTTTCAGAAGCCACTGTAAAATATGAACGGTTAATATATCACGGGCCATCTACGAAAGCACAAGCCACATAGTTTTATTTTGTTCCCACCAATCCAAAATATCATCATCATCATCCACAGGTGGGTTATCCACATAACAATTCAGAACTACTTGCGCTTCTATTTTAAGATATTTTTCTAGTTTTTATTGCTGAAAAAACACTTAATCTTCCACCTCGAGATGAGGTTGGTGTAGTGTGTATGTCTATTTATAAGTAAACCTTATATTTTTCAATTTTTTTTTTTTTTTTTTTTCATGTTTGCATAATAACGACAAATTGTTCTTCATCAATGAAAATAAGTTATAAAAATTCTTGTAAACCAGTGTCTTTACACTTAGAATCAACTACGATGGCTAAACCTAAAAAATGAGACAATAGATCAAATATTTATCAAAATTTTCTTTCATTGCATGTATAATGGTGATATAATATTAGGCATATATTTTGTGAAAACTTTCATTATTTCTACTAGCATATATAAAACAAATGGTGAAATAGGTACATATATATAGGAAAATAATTTTGTTGCAGTACGAAAAACTTTTAAAAAATCTTTATATAAGTTTACGTGGCGCCAATCGTCTTTTATGGGAGTCGATACTTCTCATATTGTTATTGTTGCAAAAAAATATATCTATTACTTTTCTTTGTTTACAAGTTCTCTTTAGTATATTATACGTTGAATTCTACATACCGTCTATATCTAAAATTAATTTTTTAAATTACATACCTTTTTGTTGACAAATTTTCCTATATTTTGAAATTTGACTAGGAGAAGACATAATAGTAAGAACCGCATATTTTATTACCAGTACTATACATGCATAGCTTCTTTAATAATCAAGTTTAAAATATGAACACAACAACAAACATGAAATAAATCACCATCAACAAGTAATTGCTAAGTTAATTTCAAATGTACTACAGTCTGATTATAATATAATACATTGTTTAAACTAATGGTAAATAAATTTTATTTTGCAAAATTCACTCATATAATACATTCCTTATTTCTACTCCCAAGTGAATGACTATTGTATGGAAATTCAACTAATCTAAATGAAATGATTCTTTTATTTAATTTTCAATCATTATTAATATAATGTGTGATAATGCATTGATATTCGAAACTACTATTTGACCACAGATCATATGTTAAACAAACTCTTCCATTCAAATATTTAAAAATGTTAAATAATTCAGTTTTAATATCCTCAATTTTCTTTAAAATCCTATTTATAGTAGTATTTCTTGAGAAACCATAATATTGAGGTGCAAAACCTCCATGAATCATTTCTAAAAAATCGGGACATTCACTAGTAGAAAATATTATTCTTTTTTAATAATATAATTAATTACAAAATCTTGTGCACGTATAGGATCATATGAAAAAATGTTTGTAAATTACCAGTTGATGAACTCCCTAATTGTATTTGAGTTCTAATACCAAGTTGTTGACTTTGTAAATGTCTTTGAGCATACCCTTTTAAATGACTAGTACCCTCACAGATGCAGCACTAACTAAATTTGCATAATATTTACATTGTGCTTTAAATATAGTTGTACCATCAGAATTATTTATAGATACTCTTCTATTGTTAGAAGATAGATATTAGGTATAGTAGAAGAGGAATCAACAGATTCATGTCGTGTATATTCATCAATATTAACATAAATATTAAGAAAATTAGAATCCATAATAATTTAAGTAAAATAATATATATTAACTAACAATTAATTAAATAAAGAGTAAATAATAAATATGAATAACAAGAAGTAATATATGTTAACAAACAATTAATGTAAAAAAATGAGTAACTAATAAATATTTATTGAAATAGTTAATGTTACCAACTAGCGAATATATTACAAAAAATAACTTTTTCTGGTAAAAGCTAGATGTTCGGGTGAGAGTTAAAGGGGTTGAGGAAGGAATAAAAAAAAAGGGACAGAATAGTATTTTTACCCTCCGTAGGTTTCTCCCAAATTTGACCGCCCAAAACATGAAAATAGGGTGACTTTTTGACTTTTTTGATAACTTTTTGGCTTTTTGACTTTTTCGTAGCATCCCAAACTAGCCCTTAGAAAATTAGAGCTCTCTCCATCTTGTTCTATTTCACTTTATTTCTAAGCCAATGTTTAGAAAGTTGGGTTTGAGAATTTTTTAGTTAAAATAGTCACAAAAAACAAAATAAACTTTTTAATCCAATAAGACAAAATATCATATCTAATCCATAATTATTATATTCTTTTTCTCACAAAAATTTAAAAAAGCCAAAAGCCCTTCCCAAGTTAGGCTTTTTAGACTCAGGCTAAAATAGCTAAAAAAAGTCAAAAAATCAATCCACTTCCCAAACGAAGCCTAACCAGTTATTGGGTTCGTTTAAGAAATGGGTTGGCTTTTTGATTTTTTAAGCTTTTTGGGCTATTTTAGCCTGAGGCTAAAAAGCCTGGTTTGGGAAGGGTTTTAGACTTTTTTGTGAGAGAAAGAATGTAATGATTATGGATTGAATGTGATGTTTTGTCTTATTGAATTAAAAAGTCTATTTTATTTTTTGTGGCTAAAATATCAAAAAAAAATCCCAACTTTTGCTTCCCAAACGAGCCATTAGAGTCTTAAAATTCTTACTTAATTCGTAATTCAAATAAGAGTCGTGATATTCAAGCCTAGAAATTAGACTAACTTTTCAAACCCAATTATGTGAGAACTCAAGTAATCATATATTTTACACATCATTAAATTTAAAAAATGAGCATAGAAATTCAAATAATGCATGGAAGTATCTGAAATGGAAGAACTATTACGACCATACCACAACATTACCAAAGCATATATTAATGTAATCAACAGGGGCTATCCCATTTTGTACCCAAAAAAAATATAAATAAATAATAATAATAATATTAATCTATTGCTAATAAAAATTTAATTTAATTTAATTTGGGTTAGGCGAATATGATAAAACTAATTGTAACAAAGGTATATAACTATTTGCCATTAGTTTACAATATCTTAGCTACAACTATTGGAAGGCGTGGATAATAATACAATACAATAAAGCTTCGGACCCCAGTGGGGTATTGGGGTCGCGTGTGATTGGTCAAAAAAAAAATTATTATTATTATTTTTTTTTTTGAAAACTCAAAATGGAAACACATTTTTTGTGTTTTCATTTTTTGGCCAAATTTATAAACTGAGACCACTAATTTATAAATCAAAAATTTTACCACACAAGTTTTTATTTGAGTTTTTAAAATTTTTGTAAATATATATAGAAAACTGAAAACGTAAGTGTTATCAAACGGTACCTAAGTGATCACTAATTTATTTGATGTTTATGATTAAAATTATGTTTTTTTAACGTTAGTCAACTTTGTACTATTTTATAAATAAATAAAATAAAAGTTAAGCAAACAGAGGGAAGGGGGATGTAGCTCAGATGGTAGAGCGCTCGCTTAGCATGCGAGAGGTACGGGGATCGATACCCCGCATCTCCATTATTTTTTGTTTTTCCTCTTTAAGCACTTTTATTATGAACCGTCAGATCTGGCGTCAAATCACAAATGAATGCTTCAACGGTCAAGATTCGATAGCTTACTATTGCCGCGAAATCAAACTGTGGCGGCTCAAACAAACCGGTCCTTTTTTGTTTTTTAGGCTCCGGTTCAAAATCACTGACCTCAATATTTTTCCCGCCACTATCTCTATTTTGAACAACACCACCTCACGATCTTGATCCCCCATTCGATCGCCTCCAATCATCCCTAGTTTCCTCGAGCCTCGCATTCTCAATGTTAGGTAACAATTTTTTTTTTGGCTTGATTTCATTTGTATTTCGCTCATCAATTTCCATTACTTCGTTATAAATTCGATTTTAGCTACCTTTTTTTTTTTGGTTTAATTCTTTGCTAATTACAAGTGTTTAAATTCGATTCTAGTTAGCATTTTTGTTTAATTCTCTGCTGATTAGTTTCGTTTCCTGTTCATATATGCATCTTAGTTCAGATTCAATCTTTTTATTTTTATTGTTTTTTATTTATTTATTTTTTTTTTTATAGCTTTTCCGGAAACCTCAGTGACTTTCAATGTGAAATTGCATGCCTGTATGTACGCTGCATTTTGATAAATTCAGGTCAGTCATCAACCTCCATGATTGTGTTGATTTCGTGTAATTATAATATATATATTTTTTTGTTATTTATGGTGTTTAAATTTCATTTCATTTGATTATGTTTCATTTATTTCTTTAGCACACTCTGATTATGCATAATGAGAATTTGGGATTAGGTTTTGGTCAGAGCAAGTTTGTCTCTTCTTCTGTTCTTTATTAGGCCTTTTTGGTACTAGGAAAGAAAATTAATCTTTTGCCTTTTCCTTTCGGCTTTTGCTTTGGTTATTCAATTATTTTAATTGAACAAACAAAATTAAGAGTAATAAATCTAAATACCCAGCTGATAAAGAGTACAAACTTTATAAATTACATCTTGAATTAGAGAATTTCCATACAATAGGGACAAGTTGAAAGGGCATACTCCGTTACATGGGCTTAGGGCTTCTTCTTTGTTGCATTTATTGGACTGATTCAACAACACTAGAAAGACATTACAACAAACTATATCATTCACATTTATGCATCTGCTCTTGTAATAACATTCACCCCCATAATATTTATAGATGCAACTTTTACTTCATTGGAGCTCTAGATTCTTCATATGCCTGCTGATGGAAAAAAAGGAAATGGGGCGGACAAAAGTAGCGTTAGTTTTTTTAAGAAACATTATGCATATATAAAAAGGTTCTAATACAAAATAAGATTTTAAATCTCAAATTGCATATATTAATTTGGTGCATTGGATTAGCAGCTACCCCATCTTTTAAATTTGCACATATTTATGGGTCAATGGGAAACCGAGTATACTTTGCACCTCACCTTATGTTCCGACCCACAAAGTGATGTTACAGTGAGAGACTGACTATTTACAAGTTATAGCTGATGCATACCAATTCACCTTAGCCTATTTGTCTCATTTGGATCATAAGAAGACAAAAATGGTAAATAAGTATTTGGACTGATATTGGCAGATTAGGTTCTGTTAGAAATGGCCGAACGGTAAAAAATCGAGCCTTTGCGGTGAGCTAAGGTGTTTTTCAAGTAAATTAGGTCCACCATTTTGTGATTTTCCTATTTTATGAAAGCTTTGTTTATGTGATTACATTATGGTTTCCATTTGTTTTGACCTATTTTTTTCTCTCTACATCTCTAGAATTCAAATTTGGGTTTAAGTCAAAATTTTCATTTTTTGTATTTTTTTAATTATTCAGTGTTTAGTTAGGAAATTGACATATTTTTCATTTCCTAGTCAAATTAAGAGTTTTCTACTGTTATAAATAAGGTTGTATGTTTTAGGGCTATTTAGTTTTTGAGTTGATTATTTTATTAATAAAATTCAAATAATAGTTATCTACATTGTGTTTGTTCGGGATTCTTCTTGTTTCTTTGTTCTTCTCTCACACGCTTCATATAAAGTTTGTGCTTATATGGGCATAAGCATCCTGTAGAACATTTGACTATGTTTTCTTAAATATGAAAGCAAAGGTGAACCTAGTGGTGGCTATTAAGCTTGTGTGCATGCTTTCTAAATCATCAGCTTTGGGGAAGGCAACTTTATACCAGTGGCCTAGATCTTGTAGGCATAAAAGGATTTTTTTTTTTTTTTAATATTCTATCTGCAGATGCTGCTAGAAGTTTTAACTAGATCCAAGAAGTGTTGACTTGAGCAGAGGCTAGGAGAAATAAACGGTCACAACTTACAAATGAATGTGGATTCTAATAAAAAATTTGATGCCTCAATGGATGATCCTTATATCAAGACAAGAAGCACCGGCTAATTTATTATAACTATGTATAATAAGGTGGTTGGAGCTTTAAAGAAGAGGACCATGTGCATGTGATCTAAAACTAGTAGGATTAGATTTCATGTGGTTTCCTTTTGGGATGTTGAATGGAGTATGATAACTTCTATAAAATATTACTAAAGTTCACATAGTTTTTCTCACTTTGGAGGGGCTCTAGTGACTGGTTTTGACCTTAACTACCACAAATGGAAAGAGTAGTGACGCTTAACTAGCACACGGTACTACAAAATTACATTAGAAAACTAGAAATACTTATCCTAGAATTAGAACAGGGCACTTTTTTCTTTTCCTTTTTTTTTTTCTTTCTTATTTCTTCTTCTTCTTTTAATTTAATTTAATTTAATTTAATTTTTTTTATAAAATATATGTGTTATAAATTACAGTGGGTGTTTGGACTCATAATCTGCTGTATTTCATACGTAGTTTCTCATGTATTTGAGTGGTTTCTGTGTTCTGATTTGTTTCCCAAATTTGATTTACATGCAATCACCATATACAGTAGAGGGATGATATGCCAGTTATTTACAGCTGTTCTAATTAGTAAGTGCTAGGTAAAATGATGGAAAACAAAAATGAACTGAAGCTACAATGCACAGATAAATAGTTGTACTTTATCACGTATTGGGTAAAGAGAATTACCATGACACTCTCTCCGTTCATTACCAACCTCTACCATTGCTAGCAGTGGACCTGTAATTGGGCAGAGGTACTTGATCAGATTCTATTTGTATGATGTCCTTCACAAGGATCTCATAATGCCGCTTCACTTCCTCCACTGACTTCCCACCCACAGCCCTGGCCACATTTTGCCAGCGGTCTGGGGTGTCCTTATCAAAATAGGCTAAAGCCTCTTCGAATTGCTTGTTTTCCTTCGCTGTCCAGGATGAGCCAGAACTACGTGAAGATTTCATAGAGCTTGATGCCATTTCTATTAGTGCGTGAGCGTTTAGAAGTCAGAGGAGTTCAGTGTATATGAGGGTTGAAGGTAAGTGATTTTTTAGCGGAGAAAAGTGAAAAGAGGCAACAAAAGGGAAGAAACTTAGAAACAAAGTTCAAGGGGATGGTATGGGCAAGACATTGCCATGCCAGCTCCTTATAAACAAGAGGATACGTTGTTGGGGGTGAAGCAAGTTGGCGAATATTTTTTTTCGCCTTTTGGGTTGAAGGTACAACAAGATGTGATTCTTTTTCTTAGGGATAACACAATGTGAAGCAAGGTTAAGGACAAGAGGTGATAGGAGAATCAACAAAGAGGGTCAAACGACAAGCTCTTTCTGAATTCTTTGAAAGTCCTTTTCTTGCCTTTTTATAATATCATCTGCAAGTGGATTTCCAAGGGAATTCACCCAGCTGGAGGGGATTAGATCCCCCAATTCCAAGCCTACCCATTGAGATAGATTCTCCAACAAAATGAATTCATGCCCAAACGATAAAATTTACTAAGATCTTCTCACATTGGTTGGGATTTTGTTGTCTTATTTCAGCAACTTGCCATGACATTAATTTACATCATTCATATAATAGAAGGATTATTCATGGGAAAATGAAAATAAAAATAAAAGATTATCATGTATGGCACATATCGAGGGTGATGAATGAAATGCTAATTCTCTTTTTGTTTATGTCGTCTTCTGTATCTTCAGCTTGTCAGACTAGTAAGGGGTTTGTCCACTGCACATGGAAGTGGTGGCTTTATTTTCTGTGCACTATGTAGTTTGTCTTTGGGAAGAATTGCCTTTATTTCCCTTCCCAAAATGACAAAGAAGAAACACACACACACACACACTCGCGGAGTAAAAAGGACATGTCGTTTTCTGCTAGTTTCCTTGTGAGGTTTTTCTCTGAGTTTATTCATGTAATCGATGGTGGGCATTTCCAAATTGTGTTTTAATGTTTTCAGAGCAACATTCAATGAATTTTTTTAATTTTTTTTCCCTTTTATTTCTTCTTCTTGCAATTGACTGATTCAAGCACAAATAGTTATCGCATGTTTCTGATTCAGCAAAGTCATCAACTGCTGCTCTTTTTAGGAGATGAGTGCTCCACGTAGGAATTTGTAACACTAATGAGGATCTGTAAGACACAAAAACAGAGAAGAATAAATATATAAGAATTGTAAATCACACGCATGCAAAAGAACACAAAATTTTTATGGTTCACCCCAAAACCTAGGGCTACGCCCAAGGTTTTGCGGTCGAGTGGTTAGTGTCTAGTAATCCACACTATCACCCAAGGTTTTAAAAAGCGGCCACAACCATTACGTAACGCTGTTACGTAACGGTTATGGTGGTTACCACCCTCCATTACGGCCGCTATAGTGGTGTGATGGAAATTCACATGTGTAATGACTGTTTCGGTGTTACATGACGGCCGTAGCGGTACTGTAACGGCCATAACGACCCGTTAGACACTGTTACACCTTTTTACAATATTCTGAATAGCTTCCTTTTCCAAAGAAAAAAAATATAAAAGCTTACAAAAAAAGAACAAATACTCAAGTGATCTAAGCTTAAAGAAAAAATCTCATATGAATTTTTTTCTTTATAATTTTTTTTAAAAAAAACTTATGGCACAATTTTTATGTTATAATCCTTTCATTTAATAATTGTGAATATTTTTTATTCAGTTAGTTTAGGTGTTGGTAAAAATAATTTGTAGACATTTAAAATTAATTATTTTTAAAATCATTAGCTATTGAAATAAAATGTAAAAAACTCCTTTTATAGTGATTTGAAAATATGAAACATAGTGGATCATACTTAAAAATTAACAAATATTGAGCAAAATTTATTTTAAACCCCAATAAATGTGATTTTGAAAAAAAAATAAAAAAAATATGCGTATTAGTAAGTTTTCTTCAAATTGTGCGAAAAATTTAAAAAAAAAATCACAATTACGGTTCCGATTACCACAACCGTTACGCTACAACCTTTACATCTCGCAACCGCTACCGCGTTACCGCAACCGTTACGGTGACCGCAACCGCTTTTCTAAACCTTGTTATCACCGGCACGTCAAGCAACTAAGGTTGCTGCAACTGATGGCATTCCCCGGCAAGCCGCATCATTAGTTTAGGAGCAGAGATTATCTTGTCTAATCTAAAATCTGTAATGATCCTCTTTCACCAGAATTCAGTAGAGGAAGCCAAAAAATAATAAATAAATAAATTTTGCAGCATAAAATGGTAGTTCCTTCCTGGTATAGTGAAAGTTTTAAGTTGATTACTTGCTCTAGGGACAATAATAACCATCCCAGCACTTTGATGGCGAATCTACCTGGTTTAACTAGGCTCTGTAAGAATTTTCGAGCAGAGGGTAAAAACTGAGTCCTCTCATTTGCCACCTTATTCTAATTGTTTCTCATTGCTGACTCAGATAGTCAGCAACCATTTCTTGAAGATCAGTAGCATAGTCGAAAGGATGAATATTTGATTCTTCTAAGATTAAAATCCACAACAGCTACTTTATTCATGGAGTTTCTTCTGTCTGATTGCGAAACTCGCATTTGAGTTGTATATTAATGAGATTAGTGACTCAAAACATTGAGAAGAAGATGCAGAGATTTAATCTAAATGCTGTAGATACCAGTTACTTGGTAAATTAAGAATTTGAGTGTTGTTCATACTATAGATACCAGTTACTCAATAGATTGAGAATTTGAGTGTTCATTTTTTTTAGTTTGTGTTTCTCTCCCATACATGGGCCTCTGTATAAGGTTTCTTTCAAGGGCAATATTCTTGAACCGTCAAAACACACGAGGGCAGGCCTTGGTGCAACATTTGTTTATCACATCGCCTTAAGGGCAGCATTTAGCACTTTACCTTAGGAACATACCACCAATGTGTTTGGTAAAAGCTGGTCTTCTTAGTTCTGGTCCTTTGTGGGGGTTGATGGTTCAACGCCTACCTCCTGCAGAGATGCTTCTTTTGAAGTTTTTCTAAGATGAGTGTTGATCACACATTTAAACTGTTGGACTTCTATTGTTGCATGCATTTAGCTGTTAAAATTGATTCTACCTTGATTTGATTTTTACTTGTCAACTTTCAATAATTCACCAGAGGGTATTGCATGTGCAATCTTTTAGATGATGATTGCCATTTATGCTGTGTTTGGTTGGGAGATTTGAGAAGGGATTTGGAAAGGGAAAAGGAAAAGATGTGTGAAACTAGGTGAAATGTAGGTATATTTTATTCACATTTCACCTAACTTTTCCCTTTCCAAATTCCTCCTCAAATCCTCCAACCAAACACAACGTTATTGTTTGGGATTTTTGTGCTGACCCTTTGGGATTTGTGTTTATTTGTCTTTGCCATTTTTAGGCAGGCCTCTGTTTCTTCCTTCTAGATGATGTGCACCGACACCACCTGTACCTTTACCCGGGGCTGTTCTCCAGTTTGACATGCCATAAAAAAGGTGAAGTTCTTCTAGTCAACTTATGACAGTTAACTCTAATCTTAGAATGTGAACTTATATGCATCTATGTGTCAATTTTTGATCACACTACCCAACTCAATACTCAGCTAGAGAGCACTAGCAGAATAGATGACACATGTCTGACTTGCAACAGAAAAAGAAGATTCCGGCGGTGGCTCGTCCACCCGGGGGTACTCCGACGATCAAGTCAATACTCAATATCTCTCAAAGATAACCAATAGTACTTAACTCACTAGCTTGAGTATCAAAAGCATATCTTAGACCCATGGGGATGCCTCTCTTTTATAGCCAACATAAACCTAGTCCCAATAGAAGCCTAACTTCTATGGACTCGGGATTACTGCTAATCTTAGACTCCCAGTAAGATTAGGATAAACTCTCTAAGAGTCTTATCTTAATACAAACTGAAGTCTTCTCTCATTCTAGAACTCTTACCCCTCATTCGCTTATCTCAGATTTTGATATCTTCGGAGGTAAACTCGGCCTATCCGAGATGACCTTGGCATAACAACCAGGACACGTGGCACCTCGGCTGACACGTCGGCGTCACCTTGGCCACGTGTTGGTACTCAGAAAATATATCCCCACAACTGCCCCCTAGGTTCTATTACCTCTGCATTCTAAGGTGATGGAACCTACACTGTTCGTTCATCTGTGCCCCTCTGTCCGAGATCAAACTCGCCGACCTCAAAGTTCCCTGGACTTTATTGTCCACTTCTGTCAAGTATCAAGCTTCATGCTTTCCAAGCTGCTCGAGATCACACCTCCTAGCCGAGGTTCTTGTTCCATTAATTCGTAAACTCCAAGAGCTTTGCAACTGCTCCACTCACACTCTCTGGTGAGTTCCCGATTTCCAATCATCTATTTGACTCCGGCGATTTTCATACAACCCACTTCTCAAACGGTTCATAACTCTTCTGAATCTGTTTACTTGCCATCTGTTGCCTTCTATTTTCGTCTGTCTTCAAGTTTTGAATTGTTTGAATGCCTGGCACTGTTCTTGTCATATCCGCTTTCTGTTGCTAGCATCGTGTCTGGGTCATTACTTTCTTGTTCTTCACATACTTACTTAGTGCCTGTGCACTTGGCTTTATTCTTGAACTTTGTCGTCTTCTTGACTCTGATTTTTCTCTTTTTTCATTCAATCCTTTGGCTTTTTCTCTTTCTAGCTCTTTTGCTTAAATCCGTCATTGTTCCAAGCTTTCAAGCTCTTCAACTGTTTTCATTCCTCTCCTTCGGTGAAGCTTACGTCATTTTGTCATTTTCGCATCCGTCGTCAGACTTCGGCAATTCTCATTCCGGCTTCCCTCTTTCTGGTAAGCCACTGTTCCTCCTGGTCTTATTTCTTGTTGCTTTCCAAGAAGCTCTGCTTCATTGTTAATCACCATTGCTATTTTACCCGTTGTTTCCAAATCATCTTCTTGAATACTGTAATAACCCTCAACCCTGTTTACCGATAAACTACTGATTACTGCTAAACCGAGACTGATTACGATAAGTAATTGAATCAACTGAAATACTGAACAGACTGACTGAAATCTGAAACTGATTGATTGACTGTATCTGTTTAAATGCATTATCTATCTGTTGCCTGTTTGAATATCTGTTCACATTCTATGTTTTAAACTGCTAATTAAAGGCCTTATTGGCGGCCGAATTTGGAATCGTTTGATGTTTTTTGATCATTAGAATTTATGTAATTTTATGGTATATTTATCTAAAGTGTGATTTGGTATGATTAAATTAGATTAAATTGTGTAATGTCATGAGTTAGCCTTATTTACCAAATGCCATTGAGTGGGCCACTTAGCTAACACAAACTTGAGCTTTTATTATACATTTAAACAAAACATTTGTTCAGCCATGGTCTCTTGTTATTGCCAACTAAGAGAGAGAGGGAGAGAAATTGAGTTCCTTCTTGTGTTTTGCTTGGTGAATTAAAGAAATTGAAGGTTGATTTCAAAATTGAGCCTCCTTACCTTTGATTCAAGACTTAAGGTAGAACATCCACCTTCTTGAACTTGTTTTTAAATTGATTCTTGCATGGTTCTTGCCAAATTGAAGAGCTAAGTCATGAATTAGTTCTAGCATGTTGAGTTGTAGCTCTAATCTTGAATGTATGTTTGTATTGTTGAGTTTTAAGTTGTTTTCATGGCAAAATGATACATGCATGCTTATAATTATTTTTAAGTCCATGATTTCATCTTGTTTTGAAAAGAATCGGCTCATTAGAGCATGTATTGAAGTTTTGAATTGTTTTAACTCATGCATGTTTGCATGTTCATCATGTTCATGAAAATTTGTTTGAAATTGAGTGTTTAAAACACCCTTGGGCTTTGATTTTAGAATTGAGCTTTGGAATCATGTTAAATTATGAGTTTTGGAATGTTTTCTGGAAAATTGACCCAAGAAAATCGAAATTTGTGCATTTGAACTTGGTTTTGAGCTTGGAAGTTTAAATCTGGAAATTTCAGATTTTGAACTCCCGCTCAAGCAGGGAAAGTGGCGCTCGAGCAGGAAATTCGTGCTCCCAATACTTTGCACTGTTTTGACGTCCGCTCGAGCGGAATAATTGACGCTCGAGCGGAGCGGCTATCGAGCGCCCATCGAGCGTGATTTTCACCTATCCAGTACTTTTGCCCTGTTTTGCAGAACGCTCGAGCGCATACCTTTGTCTGCATGTCCGCTCGAGCGGGGAAACCTACGCTCGAGCGGGACCTCTATTTTCTGAAAATTCTGAAAAATGTTTTAAAGTGCATCTTTGCATCCTCATTTCATCCTAGGCATTCTTAGGCCTAGTTTAAGGCATCTTAATGAGGATATAGATGTAGAACACGCAAAGGCAAATTAGGAATTAAGTTATTATCTTTCCCAACTGTGTAGCTTAGTGTGTGTTTGTCCTGTAAACTGTGTAGGGTTGGCGACTGGAGACGCGCTCTAGCTTAACTGTAGCCCAGAACTCTATGAGTAACAACTGTGTAAAGATATGTTCAAAGATGAATATTTTCTGACTGTTAACTGAACTGCTTTCTGAACTGTTACTATTAACTGAATAAATGTATGTCTTCTATTTTGAACTGTATTGTGGCATCCTTAGCAACTACTGTTACTGTTACTGCTACTGTTATAGAGATCTCTGTCGGTTCCCATGTTTGGAACCATTACTGATGGCCATCATTGACTGCTCGGTCTTTTAAGACCTACTGTTTACTGTACTGCTATGTTAATGGATGTACCACATATGACTGTTACGACTGAATGATTGAAATACTGATTTAATGAACTGTTTTCATTACTGTAAAGACATTCATTCTTAATCTCTTTACACATTATGTTATTCACTGGGTTTTAGCTCACTGTTTATATATATATATGTAAGTGTACAGGTACCAGACCGGAGCTAGGAGCGTGGGTTAGACTCCTTTTTTGTCAAGCCAACCACTGTGCCTCACTGCGAAGTTCCGAGCTTGTCAAGTTATGGCTTAGGGGTGTTTTAATATCCCCCGTCTGTCTCTATATCTGTTTTGTAATAACTATATAGACTGATAGCACTGTACTGTACTGTCTAACAGGGATTAAGTCTCTGTTCTAATCGACTGTAAATGTTGTACATACGGTTCTGTATTGTTCATGTATATACGTATGAAAAATCTTTTTGCATACAGACTCACAGCTCATTGGACGTTGTTTATTTACTGTTTTGGCTTCCGCCATGCCCCTGTACTCTGTATTACTGTCTTACTGTTAAGCAGGCCTTCAGTAATCTCGGATTACTAGCCAGTTACGATGCTAAACCCATAGGGATGGGTTTGGGTCGTGGCAGAGTGGTATCAGAACGATACTTAACCACGAGTTATACCGCACACACGTGTCCAAATGAGCTATAAGGTGTCCTAGAAAAGTAATTAGGGCATCACATGAGCATGAAAAGTGTGTATGGACATGACATGTATATGTGTTAATGTGTTGAAACATATAACTGCTTATGTTTAAATGTTTAAAGTATGCAACTTTCTATGTTTATTATTATAATGTTGCATATAGTGAAATGGATAATGCAAGCACTGCTAACGAAACTGAATCCCCTAAGGCAAGAATGGCGAGGTTGGAAAGAATGGTGGAATTATTAACTGCAAGACTAGAACAACAACAGAACCAACAGCCCCCACCTCCTCCTCCGGTACAGCCGGAACCGAATTTTAATGATGGGGATATAATTGCTCTCACCCAGAAGTTCAGCAAAAAGAAACTATCATCCTTTCAGGGAGGCCTTGAGCCGCTAAAGGCTGAAGCTTGGGTTCTGGAGACAGAGAAACTGTTTGAGGTCTTTCTGTGTTCTGAAGCACACAAAGTGCTGTTAGCCACCTTTACACTACAAGAAGAGGCTAGAAGGTGGTGGATGTTAGTCCGCGACACCAACACTGTTATGACATGGGCTCAATTCAAGGAGTCTTTTTTTGAAAAGTATTTCCCTCAGTGTGTTAGGGACAGAAAAGTGACTGAATTTGAACAGCTGAGACAAGGCACTATATCGGTGGCAGAATATGAGACAAAATTTACTGAACTTGCCCGTTATGCACCGCACATGGTTGATACTGATTACAAGAAGGCCAAGAAGTTTGAAGGCGGCCTTAATGTTGCAATACTGGACAGAATAAATGTTTTAAAACTACCGAACTATGTAAATGTTCTTGACCGAGCATTAATGGCTGAGTCGAACATTGACGCACTGAAACAAACTAAAACACCAGCATCTGAATGGCATGGTAAAAGGCAGGGTTTTAAATTCAAGAAAGGCAAGAATAACCCATTGAACAATAAACAGAATACAGGGTCAACGACTACTTCTAGTCAAGGGAACCGGTCTATACCACCCTGTTCTAAATGTGATAAGAACCATAAGGGAGTTTGTTATAAAATATCTGGAGCTTGTTACAGGTATGGCAAGGTGGGCCACATGGTTAAAGACTGCCCCTCTGCTCTGTAGGCCAATAGTAAAGCTGCACCTAGCGCAGTAGCATCGACTGCTACACCAAAGCCTGACCCCAAAGCTACCGGGAAAGAGCCCATGAGGCAAGGCCAAGTGTTCGCACTAGTACCGGGAGACGTGCAGAATACCGAGACCGTTGTGTCAGGTATTCTCTCTATTTGTACTCAAAATGCATATGTTCTGATTGATTCGGGGTCTACACATTCATATGTGTCGCATGCTTTTTCGCGAAAACTGAATAGACCATTAGAACCCATGAATTATTTGTTAGCTGTATCTTCACCTGTCGGGGGATCTATAACTTGTGCCTATATGTACCCTGCATGTGAAATTATTGTTGGGGATATGAATCTGTATATTGACTTACTGCCTCTGAACATAGATCATTTTGATGTTATATTGGAGATGAACTGGTTAACGAAATATTATGCTACCATAGACTGTGTAACGAAACAAGTAGTTTTTCGTCCACCGGGTTTACCTGAATTTGTGTTTAATGGGGTTGGAGTAGTACCTCCTCCATATTTGATTTCCTCTATGAAAGCCTTTAAATTGATTAAGAAGGGGTGTAAAGGGTATCTGTGTTCTGTATTGACTGTACCTATTGATGATAAAACTGATGTGAACTGTATTCCTATAGTCAGAGAATTTTCAGATGTCTTTTCAGATGATTTGCCAGGGGATTTGATTGACAGGGAGATTGAGTTCACCGTTGATGTGATTCCAGGTACACAGCCAGTGTCTAAAGCTCCTTATAGAATGGCTCCAACTAAACTGAAAGACTTGAAAGTGCAACTGCAAGAACTGTTAGACAAAAAGTTCATCAAGCCTAGCACTTCACTGTGGGGTGCACCTGTTTTGTTTGTGAAAAAGAAAGACGGCTCACTGAGACTCTGTATTAACTACCGTGAACTGAACAAGGTAACTGTGAAAAATAAATACCCATTATCGCGTATTGATGACTTATTTGATCAGTTACAGGGTGCTCAAGTCTTTTCTAAGGTTGATCTCAAATCCGGATATCATCAGCTGAAAGTTAAACCAGAAGGCATTGATAAAACTGCTTTTCGAACGAGGTATGGACATTACGAATTTTTAGTTCAGAGTTGCCAATACACCTGCTGCATTTATGGACCTCATGAACAAAATCTTTAAACCATTCCTCGATGATTTTATTATTGTATTCATTGATGACATTCTGATTTATCCCAAGAGTATAGAAGAACATGAACATCATCTGAGACTTGCCCTACAGATCCTAAGAGAACATAAACTTTTTACTAAACTGTCTAAATGCGAATTTTGGCTTGATCATGTTATGTTTTTGGGATATGTTATTAGTAAGAATGGAATTTCAATTGATCCACAGAAAGTTGAAGCAGTGGTGAATTGGCATAGACCAACGAATGTTACAGAAATCCGAAGCTTTTTGGGATTAGCTGGGTATTACAGAAGATTTGTCAAAGATTTCTCCAAAATTGCCTTACCGTTGACTCAATTAACTCAAAAGGGGATATCATTTGACTGGACTGACCAAAGGGAATCAGCTTTCCAAGAGTTGAAAACTCGACTAGTGACGGTACCTATTCTTACCTTACCTTCAGGTACGGATGGTTTTACCATTTTTAGTGATGCTTCTCATAAGGGTTTGGGATGTGTTCTAATGCAGAATGGGAGAGTTATTGCCTATGCTTCCCGACAACTGAAACCGCATGAAAAGAACTACCCGACCCATGACTTGGAACTTGCTGTAATAGTATTTGCATTGAAAATCTGGCGCCACTACCTTTATAGGGCTACATGTGAAGTATATACCGACCACAAGAGTTTAAAGTATTTCTTCACACAGAAAGAACTGAACATAAGACAGCGGAGATGGCTAGAATTGATTAAAGACTATGACCTACAGATTTTGTACCATCCGGAAAAAGCCAACACCGTTGCCGATGCATTGAGTCAGAAATCGATTGGGAACTTAACCTGTTTACTCACCGGACAGAAAGAGTTGCTATGCGACCTTGAAAAGTCTAAAATTGAGATTGTTTTGCGAGAATAAGGTGGAACAATAACTGCTATTTCTGCTCAACCGGCACTGTTTGAAGAGATTAAAGAGAAACAGCAACATGATGACTTCTTGAAGAAGATCATCGAAGAAAAGGAATCGAAGCCAAGGCCGGATTTCAAATTTGAAAATAATGTACTGAAATTTCAGGCAAGAAGACAACAATTCAAAACTGTCTATCCACCTAGGGAACACAAAAATGTATCAAGATTTGAAACTGAATTTCTGGTGGCCGGGAATGAAGAAAGAAATTGTTGATACAACCCTTACCCATACCGGAGTGGAAATGGGAGCATATCACCATGGATTTTATTGTGGGATTGCCTCGCTCCAGTAAAGGTATAGACTCAATTTGGGTTATAGTTGATAGACTGACTAAATCTGCTCACTTTTTACCTGTCAAAACAATTTATAATGCGGACAAACTGGCTATACTCTATATTGATGAGATTATTAGATTGCATGGAGTACCTATGTCCATTGTTTCTGATAGGGACTCGAAGTTTACATCGAGATTCTGGCAAAGCTTACAGACTACATTAGGTACTGAACTGAGACTGAGTAGTGCCTATCATCCTCAGATCGATGGCCAGTCAGAAAGGATCATTCAGACTCTGGAGGATTTACTGAGAATGTGTGTCCTTGATTTTCAGGGAAACTGGGAAAGCCATTTGCCATTGGCTGAATTCGCCTACAACAACAGTTATCATTCAAGTATTGGTATGGCGCCTTTCGAGGCATTGTATGGCAGAAAATGTAGATCTCCGATTTGCTGGGTAGAAGTTGGAGATGGGTCTTTGCTTGGGCCCGAGATTGTATATCAAACGACTAAGAAAGTAAAACTGATACAACAGAGACTGAAAACCGCAGAGAGCCGACAGAAAAGTTATGCGAACGTCAGAAGACGGGATAGAGAATATGAAATGGGTGATCACGTGTTTGTGAAAGTGACACCGATGAAAGGCCAGACTCGTTTTGGAGTCAAAGGCAAGTTAGCGCCGAGATACGTCGGACCGTATGAAATTATTGAGAAAATCAATCTGGTGGCGTATCAAGTTGCGCTTCCTCCTAAAATGGAGCATATGCATAACGTCTTCCATGTTTATATGTTGAGGGACTACCTCCGGGATCCTTTCCATGTGATAGAGCCTACTCGTGTAGTGTTGAGTGATGACTACACTTACGAGGAACGGCCTGTTCAAATTGTAAACAGACGGATCAAAAAGTTGAGGAACAAAGAAATCCTGTTAATGAAAGTTGACTAGCAAAACCATGGTGGCATGTATGCCACTTGAGAAAGGGAAGATGACATGGCCAAGAGATATCCTGAACTGTTTCCACCGAATCCTATTTTCTTCTAGAATGAAGGTAACTCGAGTTTAGAGGACTAAACT